GCATGTTTAGGAAATCAAGCGCGTAAAAGGCGATGCAGGTGGGAGCAGGGGGAGGGAGTCAAGGGAGACAAAGAACAGTAGCACCACATGCAGCTCTGCTGCCAGCTTTTGGGCCTCTGGGGTCATGAACAGATCAGGAACCTGAGACAATGAAAGGACTTCACCCCATAAAGCCAGGGTACTCTCGGGAGCTGGAAAACCCAGGAGAATTTCCCCCATACTCCCTCAGAGTTCCTCACGTGCACGTGCCTTTAGTGCCCATTGGCAGAGATGAGTCCTTCTGTAGTTTCACCAGACTGCTGAGCAGTAGAAAGAGGACAGACCAAGGAGTCCCAGTCCCACCTGTGACCTCGGGTGATCACTGGCACCTCTGAGCCTCAGTTTTCTCATCTGTTCAGTGGGGATGGTATACTTCCCCCTTACCGGGCTGTGGAAAGGACAACATAATCTTACATAGAAAAAGTAATACTAAGCTAACACTGGTTTTGAGTGCCTAATACACTTAAACAATGCTAAATTAACTGTATATTTTGTCTCATTGAATCCTGATGACAGTCCTGCGATGCAGGAACTCTTACTATCCCCCATATACAGATGCAGAAACTGGGACTCAGAGCAGTTAAGTACCCGGCCAAAGGCCAGAAAGTCAACTAGAATTGATGTGTCCATTTTCATTCATTCATTCATTCATCATCACTTATTGTGTACCGTTCAGTGCCAAGACAATGAGAAGCAAATCACACAGTCCCTGCCCTCATGGTACTGACAGTCTTGTTACTGCAAAGTACAAGGTGCAGAGTAAATAGAAGTCAAATCAGATTCCAACTTCTACTCAACACCCAGTAGGCCCCAGGCAGAAACTCTCCAGAGCAGGAGTATTGCTCCTGTGGTTTGGCCTGGTGCTGATTGAGATACATGCAAGGAAGAGGCGGCTGGTTCTGCAGGTCCTCAGGGACAGAAACCAGGAATGTTGGCCAATACAGAAACATCATAAGCATTTTCCTTATATTTGATGCATTCCTGGACCATAGATGGGAAAGCAACCTTGAGAAAGAACTGCATTTTATTTCTCAGCTTCTGAGAAAAGATCACATTTGAACTTTTTGTGAGAGAGATCAGCTGGGGAACCTTCACCTTAAAAACCGGGCTAAACAAAGCTGTATTTATAAACAGGTGAATTTAAGGGCAGCCCCATGCCTCTAAATAGTGAACACTCCGGTGCATTTTAGGCAGGACTGATTCAATGTATTTTCTTAGCACACAGCTTTTCAGGAATGCAAAATATGCTTGCCCAGCATCTTAAGGCTTCTAAAAGTAGACGATGCCCTTCTCTCTGTTCACTTACAAGCTCATCCTTCAAAAGCATTTGTTTGGAAGTCCCTCCTTAAATCTAACCTGAATCCAACCTGTTGTGCTTAAGGTCACTTCAGTGATCTTTCTAGCCACAACCCAAGAGAGAAGGACTGGAGGGAAAGAATTTAAGACCCCATGAGATCAGAGGCAGACTCTTAAGTTAGCAGTATCACTTGGCTAAATCTTGGCATCATTTCCCGAACTTTTCTAGCTGCTCCCAGCACTCCAAATGTCTCTGAGAATTTTCTTCTTGGACACACTTAAAGAAGCATCTGAAATTTGTGCCATGCAGCTTAGCACTTGCTTAACAGGATGGTGCAGAGACCATCAAGTTTGCCCTTGCAGGAGAGAAGAGAGGAAACTGAGATTCAGAGAACTACTGTGACTTCATCAAGGATACTTAGCAAATTAGTGGCAAAGTCAGGAAGATAACCTAGACTCCAGAACTCAAGCCTGGTGCTCTTTTTTTTTTTTTTTTTTCCTTCAAATCTATGTCTCCCCACATCTGGCTCTGTTTCCCTGAGGTCAGAGCCACGCCTTGTTCCTTTTGAGCCTCTCGACTCAGGCTTAGGCATTAGTTGCCCAAAGCACACTTAGCTTGCTCTGGCTTGAACAGTACAAGGAGCTATGTCTTAGTTTCAGGCAAGACCACCTTGACCATGAGACATGAGAAGGAACTCTAATGGGCCTCTGCTACACGATGTGGCAGGGACTGTGTTAGTACATTGCTAGAGCCCTGGGAAGCAGAAATTCTTAGTGCCCATTGCCCAGATGAAGAAACTCACTTTCAGAGAGGTTACAGAATGTCTCTGTGGTTCCACAGCTACAGTGGCAGGCTGGAATTCGAAACCAGGTTTGCCTGCCTTCTTCTCCTGCATGATACTGCTTCATACACAGTCCCCAGAACCTTAACGACCAGGTGGAACGAACCAACAAGGTCATGCATTGTGCATCAGTGCCCCTGTATTAAGAAAATACATTTCGTCCAATTCAAGGTACAAAGATGTAAGGTAGAAGCCACCAACTGTAGACATGGAGGAGCCTCAGAGCGACAGCACGTGCTGTCCAGGTGCTCCTACTCCTCCTTTCTTCCCTCGCAGTTTCTCTCTCCCTTCCTTTAACACTTACTGAATATACAGCCACACAGAGGCACTCAGTGTTTGGGCCCATAACCTTCCTATTGGAAAGGCCCTTCACTTTCTGAACATGGCCTGGCACTGTCCAGACACCCTTCTGTCTGCCTTTGGTCCTGGGCAGGGGCATCTCCCCCTTCTCCTCCAGGACCCTCTGAATCCTAACTTGATGGCAGCTGCCTGGCTGATCTCTTCATCCTCCTGACATAGCCATGTAGCTCCCAGCTTCCATCATTCCCAAATCTCTGCAAGGTTATGGGGTTGCCTTGCTCCAGAGGGCACAAAAGTGCTTAGCTCTCTGCTCGGATTTACTCTTGGCTGGTGGAGACCTGTGACTGCCCTTCCCCTCCCTTGAACCTTCCTCATGGAGGTTGCCGTCACAGGAGGCACAGTTTGCGATTGATTCTAATGCCCTGCTGGGTTTTGCAACAGCTGGTGGAAACGTCTGCTCGTGCTTCACCCACACTCCTGGCTGCTGGGTTCAAGTCACTGTCGATTTGGTCACTGAGTTACACAGACGTGCAGCCCAGGTGGACCTGTACGAGCCTTCCCACATCAGCTACCTTCATCTCTCATGAGGTCACTCCCCTGGGCTTTGAGAGCCACTCATCCAGATATCATCTTGGAACGTATGAAACAAACAAACAAGAGAGGAAGTATGAAAGGGGAGCTCAGGGCCTCTGCATTTGAGAATCCAAATTACACTATCTTCTGGGCAAATCCGCTCCCTTCTTGGACATGAGTTATTCCATTCATAAGACGGAAGAACAGGGGTGGATAAGGTTACAGGTCCCTTCTGCACCCAGGTGCTGCCTGGTTCTGCTGAACCACAGCTTCAGGAGGCTGGCCAAGAGGTCTTTCTGGTCCCTGGCTGACCGCTTTCATCTATTCCCTTACCTGAGGTCTGAAACACATTTTTTTTTTTTTTTGGCTTCAAAATACAAAAAAGAAAAACTGAAAAATCGAAATAGTTAAAAAGTTTAATTAAGCTGGGCGCAGTGGCTCCCACGCCTGTAATCCCAGCACTTTGGGAAGCTGAGGTGGGTGGATCACGAGGTCAGGAGATTGAGACCATCCTGGCTAACACGGTGAAACCCCGTCTCTCTACTAAAAAATACAAAAAACTAGCTGGGCGAGGTGGCGGGCGCCTGCAGTCCCAGCTACTTGAGAGGCTGAGGCAGGAGAATGGCATGAACCCAGGAGGCGGAGCTTGCAGTGAGCTGAGATCCAGCCACTGCACTCCAGCCTGGGCGACAGAGAGAGACTCTGTCTCCAAAAAAAAAAAAAAAAAAAAAAAAAAAAAAAATGTTTAATTAAATGTCTACATATTAGGAAAGTTATGTAAACATCATTAATTGTTAAGTTGATGTTAAGTAGAAATTGGCAGTACACTTAAAAACAATTTGTTCCCTTAGAATTACTCACTTTGAAAGGGATTTCAAATATGTCCAGCGATTGCTAAGGCCTCCTTAGCTATGAGTTAATTTTGATCAACCACTTCCCACAAGCAAAATCATTAAAACCTCTTTTAAACATACTACAGCAAATAATAATAATAATAAATATGAAATGTAGGTGACTTTCCAGTATGTTTGATAAAATGTTGGGTGTTCAGGGTCTTGAAAGTCTTAGGATTACTCTACAATCAGAGTATACAAATATAAACTCATATTTATAAATCACTTGCTCTGTGCCAGGCTCTTCTGAGCCTTTCCCATCATTAACTCATGGTGGTAAGACAACTCTTGAGGTAGATACAATTACCATTCCCATACTACAGGTGAGGAACCTGACTAAGAGCAAGTAAGTGGCACAGCTAGAATGGAAAACCCAACTGACCAGGAGCTCATGCTCTTAGCCACCTTACCGTGTACAAAGCTTGCCATCTGGGTGTTTCCGAGGAGCTCAGTGCTGGCTTGAGTGGAGAAGGGAGGGAGGGTGCATCTCCTAACAAGGGGGCACTTGACACCATTAAATGGAGACCCATTCCTTGCTCGGCTCTACTGCTACTAGCTACCTCCTCTGTGGTTCTCTTTACACCCACAGAGTCTCCTCTAATAGCTGACTCTCAGCCTCGCCTAATGCTATTAATAATTATAAAGAGCTGATGTTATTGACAGCTCCTTCAGCATTTTATACAGGACTTAATCTCATTCAATCCCCATGACCTCCATTTCATAAACAAGGGAATTGAGGGTTTAGAGATCTGAAACAATCTGCCCACAGTCACATAGCTCTCAGAAATAGTGGAAGCTTGGCGGTAGCGGTGGCTCAAGCCTGTAATCCCAGCACTTTGGGAGGCCGAGACGGGCGGATCGCGAGGTTAGAAGATCGAGACATCATGGCTGTCACGGTGAAACCCCATCTCTACTAAAACTACAAAAAAACCCCAGCCGGGCGGTGGCGGGCGCCTGTAGTCCCAGCTGCTCGGGAGGCTGAGGCAGAAAGAACCCCTCCCCGAAGGCCCACCCCTGTGTCCTTTGTACTCCAAGCCTCCCTGGCAGTGAGAAGGGCCATGTGACAGGACCCTGTGAAACACAGACAAAATGATGGTGGCCCCCCTTCCAGGCCTCAAAGCTCCTCAAGCCTCAGCCTCCTCAAATTCTGTGCCCTTCTGCGCAAATGGCTGGTCACACGAGCTGGAAGGTGTGGCCACCAACCCCAGGGCCTGGAAGACATGCCAGGCTGTGCCGTTGTGCCAAGCAGGACACAGAGGACGGCGCTAAGCCCCTGAGACTGGCAGCGTTTCTGCCACCCAGTTCGGTCTCACCTACCCTTGCAGATGCAGGTGGTGGGGAGGCTGGGGAGTAAACAAGATGTGAGCCCTTCCTCAGTCACGATGTTCCAAGGCTCTGTGGGGCGTCCTGTGACCTGCCAGAGGAGTCTCCTGCAGAGATCACCTGTGGGCTGCCCACTGGTGCTGGGTCACACAGCCAGGCTGACCCCTCACGATGGCAGAGCATCGTGCCCATGTCTCTGAGTGCCTGTGAACCCCGCTTCCCCAGGTGAGGAGGGCCATACCCAGAGTCCTGCCTCAGCTAAGTGACTGGAAGGGGGCTCAGGCTTCCCTGGGCACAGCAGATGCCCCACAGGCAATAGTGGAGCAGCAGGAAGGGGAGCAGATCAGGAAGCCCCCGGCCCTCCCAGGACCAGCCCCTGGCTGCTGAGTCTGTACTGGTTTTAGTGGCAAGAAACCCAGTGAGCCCTCTCCCTCCACTGGACGCCCACCCCAGGTCCTGCTGTACCCCAGCTCACTCACCCATGGGTCCTGGCACCTGGTGTACTCACCTGCCCCAGCATCTCCCAGTTCATTCATTACGTTCTAGGAAATAACATGGTTTATTTTTCTCTTTCTGAAACACAAGGGAGAGAATTTCCTGGAGTCACAGAGGCACAGGAGGGAATTGGAAGCAACTAGGATGGCCCTTGTCCTGCCTCCTGCTTGGGACCACATTGACCCTCAACCACTTCCCTGGAACCCTGGGCTTCTACAGGGCACAGACGTCAGCAGCCCAGGGCATAGAAGAGCCCAGAGCCAGGAATGGAAGTGCCACTGCCAGCAGCTGAATCTGAGAGGCAGCTCTAGGGCCCTGGGACCTAGTCCTGCACGCCAGAGACATCTCCCTGAGCTGGCCCCAGGCCTTCCGGGTATCCCCAGTATGAGGGAGAAAAGCATGCATCCACCATCCCGCCAGGTGGGCGCACACCTGTCCAGGGGCACAGGTGACCTTTCTGAGGTGGTGCCTGGGCTGCTGTACTTTGTGCTGCCACCTGAACTGCAGCCCTCAAGGTCCTGCCTGTGCCATCTCCCTGCCGCCGGCTCTCTAGGACGCAGAAGCCAAGCAGGGAGGAGCTGCGGGAACACAGACCTCGCTGCCCACTCTCACGCATTCCCTCCTTGCCTGGGGTCTCACAGGGAGGAGCCGCGGGAACATGGACACCTCGCTGCCCGCTCTCACGCATTCCCTCCTCGCCTGGGGTCTCAGAGAGGACAGCTCAGGGATCCACAGGATTCACAGCCTCCAGGCTCTAGGGAAGGGGAGAACGGGGTCCCTGAGGCCCCCAAGATCATACACCTATGAGGCTAGGGCTCCATGGAGGTCCAGGTCTGCTCAGAGTCATCCATGTGCCTGGGCCTCACCATAGGGAGGTAAGACCGAAGTGGGGAGGAAAGGCAGGACTTCAGGCACTGCCAAGTGTCCTGGAGCCTGGGTTGGGAGAGGGCCTGTCCTCCAAGGTCTCCTGGGGGAGGTGGAGCCCGCCTCGGGGGCACAGCATCACCTCCTTCAGCCCCAAGCCTGGGCCAGGCTGCCACTCTGGTGGGGGAGCCAGGTGGGCTCTGGGAGGCCTGGGACTTTCTCACCCCTCCCAGCCCCCAAGGGCACAGTGCCTGGGTGAGAGACCCCAGGGGACCTGTGAGCTTGACCTTTCTGAGTCACACTGACCCACGGCCTCCCGGGGGCCAAAGACCCCACCCCACAGAGCACAGAAGACGGCACTGGCAGGCCCAGGCACAGATGGTCGGGGGGAGACAGCCCCACCGCTGTGGTCCCCTGTGGCCACGTTATGCTCCTTGTCCGGTAGCCAGCTCTCAATCTCCCGCACCTCACCACACAGGCGTGTGGAAGAAGTCACCGCACCGGGCCCTGACTGCTGCCTCTCCCTGCCAAGTGACAGCTTGTGAGGTCTCTGCTGCTGTCTCCCCAGGGTGAGCACAGACCGGCAGGAGCTGAGGCTACCCCAGGAGTGCTCCTGGGCTGCCCACAGGTGCTGCCGTAGATTCTCCTAAGTCACTCACAAGGAAAAAGCTGTGGAGAGGCGGGAAGTGGGGTGGACAGGGCACAACCAGGGTGGGGGCTGGGGGCACAGCTCTAGCACCAGGAAATGGTCTCCCGGCACCCCCTGGAGGGAGCTGTCACAATAGACACGCAGCCCCCTCCACTCCAAGAGATGGAGAGAAGCGTCAAGGTGAGGGCTGGGCTGTGCTCCACTCTGCCCCTGTTCCTTCTCCCAGGGTGAGCTGGGACGTGGGAAGGAGTCCTGTTCTGGACAAGGAAACATAGTTGACCCCTTGCCCCCTGCCGCCCAGCCTCCACCCTGCACCCTCCACCCTCCACCCTGTCCCCAGCACAGCAGCTTCCATCAGATGCCAGATCTCCAGGCAGGCAAACGCAGGTTGCAAGGGCCACAGCTTGACTTCCTCGCCACACACCTGCACCACCCCTGGCAGAGATGTCTTCCCGCCCCTCCCTCAGGCCTCCTCTGATGTGGCCATGCCTCGTCTGGTCCCCAGACCCACCACACTCCTTGACATCAGCTAAAGCAAGGGTCCTACCTGAGAAAGCAGCTAAGACCCCGGGGCTCCTATGTCAGCCTCTGAGCACAGTTCCACGTGTCACTCCTGTATCTGGGCCAGGCTGTCCCCAGGGCACTGGAGCCTGAGGCAGATGCTTTACCTGTGAATGGGCAGGCTTGGGGCCACCTCCCTTGTCTGGGAGCCCTCCTCAGCCCCACCCCTGGACCCTCACCACTGGCCCAGAGAAGGGGCTGGAGCAAACCAGAGGACCCAGGCTGGGGAGCTCCTGCGTCCTTTCCCCCAGCACCAGAGTTCATTGACCATGGATGCCTCAGTTCCCTCACTTGTGAAATGGGCCAAGGTAAACCTGGTGAAGCTTCTGGCCAGAGAGAGGAGAGGAAAAAGAGAAAGGAGGACCGTGAGCAGGAAAGCGAATGCCTCCGCCTGCTTGCAGGAGACAACCCAGATAGACCAAAAGCCAAGAGCACAAAACCATGTGACAGCTCAGACCAATGTCGGCTTTTTAGACCTTGAAGGCAAGCATGTTGGTGTTACAGTGACAGAATTAGAACCTGGGGGATGGTGACAGAGCTGACGAAAATTTGAAGGCAGAGGTTGCAGTGAGCCAAGATTGTGCCACTGCACTCCAGCCTGGGCGACAGGGGGAGACCCCGTCTCAAAAAACAAACAAACAGAAAAAAAAAAAGAAAGAAAAGGAGAGTTCTCATCCCAGCCAAGTATAAAGATGCAACTTTTCCAAGAAAAAAGAAACAGAAGACAATGATGTGTGACCTGTAAATTACGTGTAAAGAACACAGTAAAGGTCGAACTTCTGAGGCATCAGTCTGAGAAGTTTTAAGAAGAAATAGATTTCAGAAGGGCGACAGGGGGAGACCCCGGTCTCAAAACAAAACAAACAGGAAAAAAAAAAAAATAAATAAAAAGAGAGTTCTCATCCCAGGCAAGTACAAAGGGTTTTTTTAATCTGCTTTGAAAAGAAATAGAAGCACATAGACCTGTAAATTATATGTAAAGAACACAGTAAAGGTCGAACTTCTGAGGCATCAGTCTGAGTAGTTTCTTAAGAAGAAAATAGATTTCAGAATGAAAAATTGTTACCTCTTGTATTCTCACAGAACAAATTCATATCTAAGAACAGCGACTTTTCAAACTGGCCAAAATTTAGTTTGATATTAGCATATAAGTGTTTAAAACTGTAGCCACCTAATAAGACCTATAAACAAATCTATCATCCCCCAGTTTTGATTGGGATTAGAAATTGGGTGAGGTTATAAAACATGTTTCAAGCCTTTTTACGACCGCAGAAGTGAACTTTTGTTTCGGTATCCGCTACATTCATTCAGTTGTATTTACTTTTAAATTTTTCTTTTAAACAATCCCCAAAACTAAACGAGGCAATATTGTTTCAAATCATGAAATAACTCATCATTGTTTGTAGCAGTCTCTGCATCTGGCCTGCTCTATCATTTGGTTTCACAGCTTTGGATGTCTCTGCTATTCAGAAGACTGGCCTGTAATTCCTCTCATGGGCTGTCTCTTATATCGCACTTCTGTATCAAAGATTCTCCTGGATCTGGTGAAGGCAGTGCTGTGTTCCTTCCGGATCTATTCTCCAAAGGAAACCCTGCACAAACTTGGCATGGGAAATGGTGACATTTTCCCAAATAGAGGAAAACAAGCTTGATGCAAAAATCTTGATAATAGAAAAATCATTAATACAAATTGAGTCAAAACCTCTAAAATTTGAACATCTATAGACAAACTGGAGCTGGGAAATAAAAATAAAATCAGAGACACTTCTAAGCAAGCAAGTATTGATCTGAAGAAACTGCAGAAGAGGGAAATGAGCACATCTGAGGTGAACAGCAGCAAGCAAACGCCTCCCTCATCACTGGTCTCCCCTGGCTCGCACAGTGTGAAACGGCAGTTCACAGAGGGTAGCTGGGGACGAGTAGACCTTCATCATGCGTGAGATGCGCATGAGGACTGTGTTACTGGCCAGAGACATGTGGCTCCATCTTTCTCAGACGACTCCTCCGTGGCAGGTCACCGTAGAATGTTCAAACGAACACGCTGGCCACACTATGGGGTCCAGGCTGCTTCTATCTAGACCAACGTCTTTTGGGTTTATGCACCCTACATTCTTTTTTTAAAGCCAGGCATTTCTTATGTGTGAGAAAATGCCCTCTGCCATATGGTAAACTGCCTGAAGCTGGGCAAGAAGTCACCCGCCATATGGTGCCACTCCTCGAATCAGGGCTTGCTGGTAAATGGGACTCAAGCATTTGCTCACCAAGAAATTCTGACTCCACCATACTCTAATGGTGAGATTTACATATCATAATGCAAATAAAAATGAAAGAAGCCAAAGATGAAACAAAAATTCTATCTTAGACAAAGAAAGAAGACTTTTTACCTGGTAAGACAGTGTCACTTCTGGAAACATCTCACACACTGGCTGTCAGCCAGGGAAACATAGAGTCTCTGCACAGCCGTGGGAGCTGAAGGACTTGGGTGGTCTTAGTGCTGATCACACAGGGCTGGCATGTGTGGAGGAGGTGGGTGAGAGCACGAGCCAAGCTGCTGCTGGGGGCCACTCCTCCTTGGTGTGGGGTTGAGGGAGAGGAGACCATCAGGGAGAGCCCCATGGGAGACAGAGTCTGGGCCCCGGCCAAGCCACCTCATCACTGGGTAGGAAGCAGACAGTGTGTTCACACAGGCAGCACACAAATGCATGATCATCTCAGACAGGCCCCTCCCCACAGAAAGAAGCCTGGTAATAAGATCCTCTTTTTCATAAAAATGTTACTATGTCATTTAACCTTCCTAAAAATACCTTAATATGCTCGCAGTTATTTTACTTGACTTTAAAATATGGTGAGCTACACACAATATTTACTATTTTAATCCTTAATTTCCAGACATCCAGCAGGAGCAGATAGGGACCACAACAGCAGATACAGAGAGGGGAGTCTGTGGCACTTCCCCTGACCCTGAATCAGAATCCACACAGGAACCTGGAAATGTGTGGGGCTCAGCAGACTGCAGAGAGGGCAGTTATGAAGCCTTTCACACTGTGGTCTATCTCAGCGCTCGGCTGTGTGTAACAGGACATCACTGGGGCTCCAAGATGGCTTGCCCGGGCTGAGCTTCTGGGTATGAAGGAACAAGGAGGACACGACCCCCTACCCTCACAGGTGACTAGCGCCATGGAAGCCAGATCCCTCCACTCCATGGTGGCAAGTCACAGACTTTGGCACTGATGAGTCCAAGCCTATCTCACAGAAACAAGTGTAGTGACATCTTATGGGTCAAAGCAAGGGAGATTAAAAAGGGAACAACTAGCCTCTGGGGCAGCCCCTCCCTTTGCTTAGCTCATCCCGCACTGGAACTGGATCCTCTCCCACCTCTGCTGCAACCAGTGTGAAGCAGCTGCCCTGGCCAGGAGCTGTGAGGCTCCCTCCAGTTAAACAGGATTCTGGCCCACATACCAGCCCCATGCACACAACGCCACCCCACATAGAGAGAACGCAGCAGTTCCCAGGGACTGCAGAATGTGCCCGTCTCTCCTTACCTGGAGCAACCACTTCTCCCACCACAGCCTGGGTCCTCAGTCACAACAGGAAGCTCAGCTCCGGCTGCCTGTCTACAGGAAAGCCAGCGAGACAGTGGCACATTCCTCATCACCTGGATTATTCATCCACACGGGAGGGATTGCCCCACATACACCGTTCTCCTTGACTCCTGAAACTTCCTGTAATAACAGAAAACATATTGCTGTGAGCATCAGGCTGTGCTGTGTCCTGTGTGCGCAGGTCTTTTCTTCACTTGGTGACATTAGAAAATCAGATGAAAAACTGTGTTAAAGTCTAAGGAACACAAAAGAACAGGACAAACCGCCTCACGCTACAGACACAATTTCCTTGAAGTATGTTTCCTCCAAGTCCATGTGGCTTGGCAACTAAGTAATTTTGTTCCAAGGAGAGAATCAAGCTGCTAAGGAAAAAGCTCACTCCACACAGTGCGTGGCTGATGCTGTCATTTTATCCTGCTATTTAAAATCAAGCCTCACTGGGGAACAGGCTCTCACTCAGAATTCACCCGACCAAGGACACGGTGTAAGTCGTCTATAATACATACGGTCAGATTCTCATCTCTTAGGCTCATTCAGAAAGATAAAGCTAGGAAAGCAACTGTATTCCTCAGACAAATGCAGGGGTCTGACCTTCAGTTTCCATGGGGCCTCCTTTTTCTTCTCCCTGAGGTGTTCCTCCATTGGGTCCTCGGTGGAATCTAGGAAGACAAAGTGTGACCATCAGCAGGTGCAGGGAGGAGCAGGAAAAACAGCTTTCTAGCCCCAGGCCGCCTCATCAGGTAAAACATCCCATCTTGAACAGGGCACAGCACCCAGGGCAGGCTGGGCGTCCCTGCAGCCTCTCAGGGCTCCTGCCTCCTAATCAGACCCAAGCTCACTTGCCCTCCCCTCCTGAGTCCTTCCAAGGTCATTTCCTCCCTAGAATCCACCTGTGGTGCTTCTGTGTGTATCTGTCATTCTAGAATGTTTTATACTTGGTAAAAAGAAACTGTTGTTTAAGAGAACATTTCATTCTAGCCAAAATATTCTATATATTCACTAATCTTTTGTTTTAAAGATAATAAAACAAAGCTTTGAAAATGCGAAGTTATCTTCTCATTTAAAGATAATTCCTACTTAGCAAGTGCTATCTGTCCTGGCACTCAGCCTTCTCAATGCAATGTCTGTGTGCGTCGGGAGTCCGTTGCTGCTCACACTCACAGGGACTTTGACACTGGGACAGTCCATCATGGGGGCAGCAGGTGGGGGTGCGGACCCTCCCCAAACCAGCCGTGCAGGGGAGATGGGTGGTAGGCTAACACCCAAGTTGTTCCTTGAAACCATATTCGGTGCTGGGTCTTCACTGTGTTTACTCCTCAACTAAAGCATTTATTTTTCCTCTTTAT